TGGAGTGTCACACGTGCTAAAGGTTTCTTATAATACTCCTGCTTGAATTAAACCTTTGATTGTTGCATTTATACCCTCTTCTGCTTCTGGTTTTAGTGGGTATTGGGGCCCGAAAGGCAGGCTTGCATTTGGCTCTAATTCCATTTGAACTGGGGTTGCTGATGTTACCAGTCCAACATCCCGTGTCATGTTTGGACCATAGTTGATCTGGAACCTGTTTTAGCATGTCAGCTTTCAACTCATTTTGAAAAGTTTCTGATTCTGCAAAGCCTTGCATGTGTCTTTTGCCTGCAACAGTTACAGTCTGTTGTTTTGACATCATGGTGGCGCCACAGAGGATTTTAATCTTTTCTGCATTGCTTGTAGTGTAGATTAGGGGGTTATCTGTTTTCTGCCACTCAGCTTTAGTTGCTACTAACATCACTGGTCCAAGGCCTTTTGACCCTGTCTGGTAAAGATTATGACATGTTTCACTATTAAGACTAAACGTTCTTACTGTAATATCTGACCTTGATATGTGGCTTTTACAATGGCGCCCCCTGCTGATCAAACCCACCTATTAGAAAACCATGTGTTCCAACGGTGCCCAGATGTGTGTGTGTGTGTGTGTGTGTGTGTGTGTGTGTGTGTGTGTGTGTGTGTGTGTGTGTGTGTGTGTGTGTGTGTGTGTGTGTGTGTGTGTGTGTGTGTGTGTGTGTGTGTGTGTGTGTGTGATTTAGAGAATCAGTCAAATCCAGACTTGTCTATCTAAATTGTATATCTAACTGGACCATGAGTGAATATTTCCAGTATCTCCAGTAACACAAGCTGACTTTAAATGGTTAATCAATTCTCATCCTGGTTGTTAAAAAACAAATAAAAGAACAACAGAAAAGGAAACATCAAAGAGAAAGAACATCACAGAGCCTGCAGCACAGCTCCAGAGATTCCGTCTTCATACCAACACTTACAATCCGAGTCCCAGTGACTCGTCCCCTTTACAGGTGCATCCATGTGGCCTATAAGAACAACAGAATAATAAACAACAGAGAAGGTTGGAAAACAGGAGACCATGAAATCAGACAGCAAGACGTTTGATTGTGTTTGTTCCTGCTGTCAGCTGCAAAACTTTATTTCCTCGCCACTTAAACTTGTCGTAAAACAACCTCAACACCACAAGGATTCTGTCAAAGGAGCGTAAGACCATGAGATGTCTGACCCAGCTTTTCAGGCACATTCCCATAACCACGCTCCAACCCCGCAGCGCTGTCTGAAGACAACAGGATGCAAGTGAGGTGGGGGGTGTCCTGTTGCCATGTCAACACAAAGCATACCCTTTGTGGACCAGCTTGCAGTTGCCTTGGTGACCAACTCAAGTCTGTTGAATTATACAAAAACAGTTTGTTTTCTTTCAACTAATAATTACATCATCAATCCCACACAAGGAAAATGTTCAGTAAGAGAGAATCTTACTGAATCAGAAACATCCTGACCCAAACAGATTCACTTCAACTGCTTCAAGGAGAGATAGGATTCTCCAGCTTTAGCATCACTTTAAAGACTCGCTGTAAGATTCAGAACTGAATTCAACACTTTACTTCTATCTAGCACAGCTCTGAAACATCAAGCTCCTTCTTTTAATGGAGACCGTCTTTTTCCAGATGTTCCAAACATCTGGATCAAACCCTTAGATCTCCAACTGTAGGCTTGGTGCCTAGAGTTTCTGAAATTCAAACAAGCAGCAGAGCTTTCAGGTCTCAGGCGTGAGGCACAACCCCTGTCTAGCTAGGGTTAGCGTGGGTGATGTTGGCTCATCCCTTTAGTTGTGATGCATAGGCTTAGACTGCTCAAGGTTATCCTGGCTCAGCTGCTTCTCCCTCTGTCTCTTGTTAGTTAGTTACCCCTGCCCTTGACGTAATCCAGCTCACCTGTTCCTTATGTCCCTGTGTGTGTTCAAGCCCACTGTTTGCTCGAGTCAGCTGCCAGATCCTTGTTTTGTGTGACCACGAGTCTGCCTGCTCAGCTATGGGACCTACCAAAACAGCTTCAGCTTACCTTCCTGTTGCCTTCTCCTTGTTGCTTCTGTTAACTTTTCCTTTCCTCCTTTCCTGTCATGCTTGTGCTGCTCACAGTGGGAGGATTACGAACAATTAATCCAATCTGCTGTTTTTAGATAGAGCAATTTAGGATTCTGTATTCTACTGAATTGTATTATTTTGGGCTGAATTGAGGGCTGCACAGTGGCGCAGTGGTTAGAGCTGTTGCCTCGCAGCGAGAAGGTCCTGGGTTCGCTTCCTGGCCTGGGGTCTTTCTGCATGGAGTTAGCATGTTCTCCCTGTGCATGCGTGGGTTCTCTCCGGGTACTCCGGCTTCCTCCCACAGTCCAAAAACATGACTGTTAGGTTGATAGGTCTGTCTAAATTACCCTTAGGTGTGTGTGTGTGTGTGTGTGTGCATGGTTGTTTGTCCTGTGTGTCTCTGTGTTGCCCTGCGACGGACTGGCTCTCTGTCCAGGGTGTACCCCACCTGACTGCCCGTTGACTGCTGGAAATAGGCACCAGCCCTAACCAACCCTCTCATGGGTTTGGATCAATGTTACGCTCGGCCAAAAGAAAAAAACACTCCCACATCCTCCCAAATTAGTCTTGAACGCCAAGGTTGTTTAGTTGAAAGTTTTCCTTTCAAGCATCTTGTTCATCCGGTGTTCAGCAGCGTCTTTCCGAGTCAATCCTAATCCTAACCCACCACCGCCCCAAGGTGAACAGCTGTCTGAACACAGAG